TAAAGAAATATTTAATTACATGCTGTCCCAGCTCGTTTGGTTGGCTTGAGTTTCTTTATGATTTGTAGCAGACTGTAATGGCTCACAAACATCAGTATAGCTATTTGTCTCAGAATGTTAGCTATCTAGCTAAATTTCATGTATTGTCTAAACATATATGTCTAAAGCATATTTGGTCTTGAGATCTCATATGGATCTTTAAAAGGATGTTGTTATTTGACTTACTCTAAACAAAAGCCTGTTTATGGTCTTTACTATATAATATATATAATATATAATCATCAGAGAATATTATAATAAATTAATTCAATATGAATGCTGATTTTCATGCAGTGTAACATAGTTTGTCGGGTGAAACTGTCTTTCTGCCATCTTTTCTCTCTGTGTTCATTTATGTGCTGCATAAAATGTTGTTTTGTATACTGTTAATTTGCTTTCAGTCATATTTCACCTGATCCTGTTATGTTTTATCACATGTAGTAATGTTGTTCACCTTTTTGCACCATCTGATCCCAGAACAGTCTGTGTTTGGGGTTTGGCAACTGGCTTTGATTACAGAGCTAGTAGGCAAACTTGTTTATTTCAGGAATTTGTATTTGTGATCTAGTGTATTTTCTGGTCTAATGGGTTTCAGTGGATTATATTCTGCTAAGCCTTCACTTTAATATAGAGTATCTAAAATTCAATTTAGTTTGGATCCATTTGAAATGAACCACGTTCTTATGTGTTACTGGCAAACCTTTTATTGCCTTTATGATAACAGTGGCCTAAGAAACAGATAAAGAGATGAACTTTGATAAAGAGATGTACTTTGAGACTCTCTACCTGAGAAATCAAGTGACATCCTTAGAATTTGATTGAGAAGAATCATTTTAGTCATGAGAGGAGCATAAACCACATTGAGAGCACTGTGAGTATCCTTCTAGTAATATTTGAATAAGATTAATTTGCTTTAAACAACAGTCCAGAAGGTTTTAGAACTAGTCTAAAAATCAGAACCTTGCCCTAGAGCTCACTGAGATTATCGATTAGCCTTTTATTGTGCAGCATCTGAAACAGTGCTAGGCCTGACAGATGGATTAGTATTTTACATTATTTAGCACTGACATTGTAAATAACATGAACAGTCTATGCGTTCATATGTCTGTTTGCAGGGTTACGACTGTGAGATATAAAAGGAGACACAAGCTCCAAAATGAGTTCCTCTGGAGAACAGCACACAGAGAAAGACCAGAGGTGAGAGAATAGAGCGTAAATGTTCTCACATTTTCTGTATAGATATCAGTTAACAAAGAGACATCAGACCCATTTCTACTCACCTGGCTATCTGGAGAAAAATGGACAGTCAACATCATCCATTGACCGATAAACAATTTATTTTAGATAGGTGTACTTATTTTATATTAGAGTGAATGTGATGATCAGAGAATAAAAGAATGAATTGATTGTGTAAAGGTGAAGGTGTGTGTAAATCTTTGTGCAGGCTTAGATCATCAAATGATCAGACCATGGGCATAAATGTTTGATTGGCTACTTGATTACCCTTTTGTTGGTGTTCAGGGCATTTTTATGGCATAGTACCAAGTTGGCAGCACAGCAACTGTGGTGTTGGGCACGTCACCACTATAAACACTATTTATTACTTTGTTTTTCAATGTCCTGATCAAGGTGCAGAGTCTGTGAGTTGTAGGTTGTGGTATACAAAAACTAGTATATGTGGTTCTAGACTTTTATATCAGATTACAGCCTACAGTGTTAAAGAAATCATAACAAGATTATGCACACAAAAACAAGAACATATATTAAAAGAAAACTATAGAACAAACAGAAAACTGTGTACATTCAATATTAATAAATTATTATTGTTATTACTTTATTTATTTATTTATTTATTTATGCTACAAATATTTTTTTCATTATAATCCATCATATTTCTTTTCACTGGCAAAAAAAATGCCCCCCTTAAGTCAGACTGCAATCTTTTATGCAAGTTCGGCAATTTTTTTCAAAGGTTGACAGTTTTTATTCACTATGTCAAAATATGCATGGAAATATGTGGATGGAAACTTACCTAGTGATTGGTTGTGTTTCAGTCTGATTCAGCTAAAGAGATCAGACTCACGTGATCCCAGCTGTGTGTCTATGAAGAGTGACCGTTCAATGGAACATCCACTGAAACTCAGCGAGACTGACTGTAATACTGAGTTCAGGTAAAGATAATATAGGGAATATTAAATCAACCAAAGTTACTTCAAATTTTATACATTTGCACATTAAAGACAGAATAAAAATGAAAAAAATAAATCTTCATCACAACTGTAAGCATGTCATAACATTACCTTTTATCATGTAATATTACTTCATATCCAGCATTAATGTATTCTGTGGTGGTGACTTTACATAAAATCTCAAAATGTAATATTTTAAAATGACCACATTCTTGTGTTTTGACCACTGTTAATTGCGTTTTAGTCAGAGTCAGAGAGAGAGATCAAACTCACCTGAACTCAGCTGTGCGTCCATGAAGAGTGACCGATCAATGGAACCTCCACTGAAATTGAGAGAGGGAGAGTTTTCTGTAAGGTAAGCATAGTGTTATTAGTACCGAGTGTAATGTAGAGCATATAACAGTAATGTGGAGATTTATACCTGGAACTGAGTGTAATGTAGAGAATATAACAGTAATGTGGAGATTTATACCTGGAACTGAGTCTAATGTAGAGAATATAACAGTAATGTGGAGATTTATTCCTGGAACTGAGTGTAATGTAGAGAGAATATAACAGTAATGTGGAGATTTATACCTGGAACTGAGTGTAATGTAGAGAATATAACAGTAATGTGGATATTTATACCTGGAACCAAGTGTAATGTAGAGGATATAACAGTAATGTGGAGATTTACACCTGGAACTGAGTGTATTGTAGAGAATATAACAGCAATGTAGAAATTTATACCTGAAACTGGTTTGATAATATGCAATTGGAAAGTTCATGGAGCCACAGCTAATTGTACTGGAAAGGTATGCCGTGCAGGAAGATTTTTCAGGGAATTTTGGCAGGGCAGCATGTAAATGTGACACCTGGGGTTTGGGAGGGGAGGGTACTTTTTTTAAGTGTTCTTATGACAGCAACTGTATGTCTAAGATAATTTTGTTTTGCAGGATAATGTCTTTTTACAGAGTTCAGATCTATTTAGTACAGATTTGTTACAAACTTCAAAAAACTGAAAAATGACAGCAACTAAAATGCTCATCTGTTCCCAACAACTGTCTTTTGAAAATAATAACTTTCTACAATTGGGTAGATTTCACTGCCCTGCATTTATCATTCAGTCTTAATTCAAAGTATATACTGTAATTAGACATGAGTGACTACATTATATGTTTAACCAAAACAAATGTATACGTTGGTCAAAAGCTGCAATGAGGTTTCAATTTCAATTTGCAAGACTCATGATTAAACTGCACAGACTTTTCTAATCATGCCATGAGAGGAATTCAGCTGTAGTGAAACATAACTAACTGATGACCAAATGCAGCTCTAATGCAGTTCTCACTATTCACTTTAGTCCTTCTTTTAGATAGCTTGTGGGTGCATTTGTCAATTACTTCTACATTATATGTAGTATTGTTATGGCGTTTGTATGGGATTTAATCCAGTAAACCGTAGGTTCCTGTTTTTTTGAGAGTCCAAACTGGGAGAGTTGATGCCCAATTTGATTTGTCAGACCACAGGACACTTTTCCATTTCACCTCAGCCCATCTTAAAAGACCTCAGCCCCAGAGAAGATGACGGTGTTTCAGGGTTCTGTTCTGTTGATATATGGTTTCTTATTTGTTCACAGACAGTAGCTTTCAAAAGTGTTGCTGAACCCACACACTGCTTGCTTGCATTGCTCTTTGCCTGTTAATAATTCATTATTCTTTTTTTTCCCCAAAAACTTCATAAGAAACAATGTTAGAAATCACCATATATATTTCTGTATAGTGTATTTGTGTATTTATTAGTGTCTGTTGTGCAGGTATGAATATGCTATAACCCATGTAACCCCATTTAATTCAGTTTTGTGTTTTCCACAGTGTCCAAAAGGAGAAATCAAAGCTGATCTGTGTAGATCATTTGGAGTCCATATTCAAGGTGTGTTTGTACTTGTGTAACTTGTTAGATCATGCAAATGAGTACAGAGTACACTGTTTATTATAAATTTATTATTAAACGTTTTATTTAATTGTGTCAGGATTATTGTTAATCAGCTTTATTTGCAATTCAATCAGTGACATCATATGAAAAAAAATATATATATATCTCTGTAAGAAAATAGTGTGTTCATGATTTTTTTTTAAATTTTTTTCTTAATCAGGATCTGGAGCACAAAATAACCTCTCTGGTGAAGAAAGAGCTGAAGAGGTTCAAGAAGCTGCTGAGTGCAGATTACCCAGCATGCTCTGAGAGAGAGGTGGAGGATGAGGAGGATCACAGCAGTTCCAGAGAGGGGGTGCTGAAGATCACACTGAACATGCTGAGGAACATGGAGCAGACAGACCTCGCTAACACACTACAGAGCAGTAAGAGCTGTGGGCGGGGCTTTATTACATCACTGTAACATTCGAGGAAGAACACTGATCTACACTTACCACACTTCTCAGATTAAGAGAGCTGATCTAGGAGCAGCTTTTACATATTACATCACAATGAACGCAGTCATATGGACAGAAAAGAACTCATATTAGACAAATATTCTGACATATCAAATGGTTATCATAATCTGAAATGCTAAATACTGGCCACTATAGTCTGTACAAATAGGTGACTCATATAGATATAATTCAGTTATAGCTTTCATTCAAATATCTAGTTATTTTGCTGAACATAAGAGAAAAATCACAATTGTTCGAACAGTTTTCACAAATGTTGTACAAACCACATTTAATTTGATCTTATTAATGATCACACCAAAAAAATAATTATCACACTGTTCTTTTTTTAGAGCTCTTCTCTGTGTATCACAAAAAGCTCAAATCAAAACTGATTAAGAAATTTGACAGAATTAATGAAGGAATCTCACAGCATGGAAGATCAACCCTTCTGAATGAGATATACACAGAGCTCTACATCACAGAAGGACTGAGTGGAGAAGTCAATGCTGAACATGAGGTCAGACAGATTGAGACAGCATCCAGGAGACCAGCAACACAGGAGAAACCCATCAAATGCAATGACCTCTTTAAAGACAAACCCATCAGAACTGTGCTGACTAAAGGAGTTGCTGGAATTGGAAAAACAGTCTCTGTGCAGAAGTTCATTCTGGACTGGGCTGAAGGAAAAGCAAACCAGGACGTTCTCTTCACATTTCCACTTCCTTTTAGGGAGCTGAATATGATGAAAGGTAAAAGATTTAGTCTGATGGAGCTTCTTCATAAATTTTTCCCAGAAATAAAAGAACTAAGATTAATAAACTGTGATGCTTACAAAGTCATATTTATCCTTGATGGTCTGGATGAGTGTCGACTTCCTCTAGATTTCCAGAACAATGAGAGCTTGTGGAATGTAACAGATTCAGCCTCAGTGGATGTGCTGCTGACAAACCTCATCAAGGGGAATCTGCTTCCCTCTGCTCTCCTCTGGATAACTTCTCGACCAGCAGCAGCCAATCAGATCCCTCCAGAGTGTGTTGACCTGGTAACAGAGATACGAGGGTTCAGTGACCCTCAGAAAGTGAAGTACTTCAGGAAGAGAATCAGTGACCAGAGCCTGGCCAATAAAATCATCTCACACATGAAGTCCTCAAGAAGCCTCTACATCATGTGCCACATCCCAGTCTTCTGTTGGATCGTAGCCACTGTTCTAGAGAGACTGTTGGGTGAAGCAGAGAGTGGAGAGATCCCCAAGACTCTGACTCAAATGTTCTTACACTTCCTGATCTTTCAGATAAAACACAAGGACCAAAAGTACCATGGAAAATGTGACACTGATCCTCAACAGACTAGAGAGATGATTCTGGCATTGGGAAAACTGGCTTTCCAACAGCTGGAAAAAGGAAATTTGATCTTCTATGAGGAAGACCTGAGAGAGTGTGGCATTGATGTCAGAGAAGTGTCAGTGTGTTCAGGAGTTTGTACCCAGATCTTCAGAGAGGAGTTTGGGCTGCACCTGGGGAAGGTGTTCTGCTTTGTGCACCTGAGCTTTCAGGAGTTTCTGGCTGCTTTATATGCATTTCTGTCCTTCATCAGCAGAGATGGAACAAAACACGTAACCAGTGATCTCTCTGACATTTTCAAAAAGTCAGAAATCTCAGAATTCCTCAAGTCTACAGTGGACAAGTCCTTACAGAGTGAAAATGGACACCTGGACCTTTTCCTCCGCTTCCTTCTGGGCCTCTCACTGGAGTCCAATCAGACTCTCTTACAAGGCCTAATGACACAGACAGGAAGCAGCTCTCACAGCATAGAGGATACAGTCCAGTTCATCAAGGAGAGGATCAAGGAGAATCCGTCTCCAGAGAAATCTATCAATCTGTTTCACAGTCTTAATGAACTGAATGATCATTCTCTAGTGCAGGAAGTTCAAACATACCTGAACAGAGGGCATTATTGTCTCCGTGGAATCAAACTCTCTCCTGCTCAGTGGTCAGCTCTGGTTTTTGTGCTACTGAATTCAGAAGAGGAGCTGGATAAGTTTGACCTGCGTAAATATGACAGATCAGAGCATTGTATACTGATGCTTCTGCCAGTGGTCAAAGCATCCAGAAAAGCTAAGTGAGTATGAAACTGCGCTGGCTGATAACTTAATATAACACTAAATATAATGTAACATTAATATTGAACTTTTGAAAATTAGTCAAATTCACTGAAAAAAATGCACATTTGAAGGTAGAAAATGTCCTTTCTGCTGATGCAGTAAAGCCGTACACCATCATACACCATATTAATAAATCATCATATTGTGTCTATATGTTCTACATTAAATCATGCTCAATCTGAATGAACCTTTATAGAAATTTTATCTGATAAATAAAAATGAGCAATTAGTCTTAAAGTTTAATATCCATCTGGTCCAATTTTATTACATTTTAATCTGTGCCCCACCCACTGCTAAAAGCCAATTGCAACTAAATAAGTAAACCTTTGTTTCCAAGTGATAGTATCACCTGATGTTTCAGTTATTGTTCATTTAAGAGCCAAGGTCGTTTTAAATAAAGTATTAATTTGTTAAAAGACTTTAAGCTAAGGCCATTTTTTAATGGTACTGGCAAGTTCATAGGGCTGCCCAGAGCAGCACAGCCAGTAATGCACAACATTTCTTTGGTGGATTTAGTTTTTGCCCCATGTTAGTGAAAATGTTTGCAGGGTGTATTTTGTCCATATTTCTAGTGGAACACTGCTCATTGCATGTGGCTCAAAAGACTTGTATAACACTGCACATCGCATGGACTGTGACTTCTGGTTGCAGTGACTTTTTTGTCTGGGTGACTAATTCAAAAGAGTAAAAAATAAAATTATAACAATAGAATGTTTCATATAGCTTGTCATTGATACATATTTCAAATAGTGTTTAGGATTATTTGTAAAAATCTATTTTGGTGTATTATTTTAAGATTCCTTTTTTAAGCTCTGATTTTGGTCCTCACCTCTTTGTGCCACAATGCCACATGCATTGAATATGCTGCATACCTCTATTTGTGCCCTTGCTGATGGTCCAATGCACAAAAGGACAGTACTGACCATGAATAAACAAAACAACAATTATCTATTTTTTCATTCTGATTTATTTGTGAATATTGTTTAGAGGCAGGTTTCTAATTTCTATACTGCCAATGTTTGCATGTGTCCAAATGATCATGTCTAAAGGCTATAGTAAATAACAAAGCTGATACAGGCCAACGGTGAGAGTTACAGACTCTGTGTATGTCTGTGTGTGATGTCAGCGTTCTGATATATCATCATATGTCTTCCAGGCTGACAAACTGTAATCTCACAGAGAAAAGCTGTGCATCTCTGGCCTCAGCTCTCAGCTCAGACTCCTCAAGGCTAAGAGAACTGAACCTCAGTAATAATGAACTACAAGATTCAGGAGTGGAGCTGCTCTCTACTGGACTGAATAATCCACACTGTAAACTGGAGATACTGAGGTGAGATCATCAGTTTATTACTGCAAACATAGACCTCTCTCTCTCTCTCTCTCTCTCTCTCTCTCTCTCTCTCTCTCACACACACATTGTTTGCCACTGGCTACATAAGCAAGTGATTGGATGATGAAGTAAATACTATAATTGTCATTACACAACCCACTCAGAAGCCCTGGCTGAACACTGAGGTCCATTCCCTGCTTACATTCAACTTCAGATCAGGTAACAGAGTGACTCTAAGGAAGCTTAGAACAGCCTCACTGCTAGCATTAAGAAAGCCAAGGCCACACTAAAAATACAAGAACAGTTAACCTGTAATAACCCTTGGCATATGAGGCAGGGCATTCAAAATATTAGTGACTACAAGAGGAAAAATTGTGTCATCTGCACCAATAATGCTGCAGGACCTGACAACATTCCAGTGTGTGAGCTTAAAAAGTATGCCCACCAGCTTACTGATATTTTGACAGCCATCTTCAATTGCTGTCCCATCATACTTTAAATGAGCAACCATCATTCCAATGACTGCCACCCTGTTGCACTCACCATGGTATTGGTTTATGATCTGGGTAAGCCTGGTCACAATGGGTATCAGAGCTTGCAAGTGAACAGAAGCAAAAACAACATACATGATAGTGCTGAAACAATGGAAATGTGCAAAATGCTATGGTTCTTACTGTACCAGCCTAAGGATACAAACATTTTTATCACAGGATTCCTCCTGAAAGTCATTGAGTGATCCATAACCAAGTTTAGTCAAATAATCATCACCGCCCTCTCTGTGTGTGTTGTCAGTGTGATTTCATATCATTATTTTTCTCCTAGGCTGAGTCGATGTAATCTTACAGAGGAAAGCTGTGCAGCTCTGGCTTTGGCTCTCAGCTCAGACTTCTCAATTCTGAGAGAATTGGACCTCAGTAACAATAAACTACAGGATTCAGGAGTGGAGCTGCTCTCTGCTGCACTGAAGAATTCACAATGTAAACTGGAGAAACTGGAGTGAGATCATCACTTTATCACTGCAGCTCTTCTCTCTGTCTGTCCCTTTCTTTCTCTTTTTCTTATCCACATTCACACATATTTCATTGCATTTCTCTTAAAGTTGTACCAATTATTGGGCAGTCATATTAATTCCATCATCATTATTGTTAGTCTAATTGTTTTAATAAATATTTGAGCATATTTCATGTAAATGTCCAAAACTATAACAAAGAATGTGCCAAAGATTTAAAAATATTTTAGAGGAATGAGACACACCAGGCTGTGTAAGAGAAAACAGAAGAATTCACAGGATGGGTTATCATTATTATGTATTATCAAATTTTTAACAAATATTTACTGATTCTTTAAAAAAGGTAAACATTAAATGATGATTGATATGGAATGGCTTTAACATTTACATTTCTACCTCTCATACTGTTTATGTGTGTGGGGGAGTGATGCTAATAAGTTGTGTACCATCAATTCTCTCCCAGACTAAGTGGTTGTAATGTCACAGAGAAATGCAGTGCAGTTCTGTCTTCAGCTATCAGCTCAAACTCCACAAGTCTGAGAGAACTGAACCTGAGTTACAATGAACTGCTGAAGGATTCAGGAATGAAGCTGATCTCCGATGGACTGAAGAATCCACATTGTAAAGTAGAGAAACTGGAGTAAGATCAGCACTTTCTCATTGTGTGTATCTGTGTGTTGCATTGAAAAACTCATGCATTTGTTTTGAGTCTTTTGTAATATTTGCTTGTTTAGTAACTAGAAGCTTCATCTTTGGACCCCATCAGAATTCTAAAGCATGCTTATGGATTCTTGACTTTTTCAGAATTAAAGGCTTATTAAACCACTTAATCATAAAACAAGGGTGAAAATGACAATTATTTAACAGTACATGTACTATGATGCCATTAAAACATTATGTCATACCCTGTTTAAAATTCAAAATCTCATTGAATAAGGAGGCCAGCCTGGCACCTGGACAAATGATCTTTAATTCTTTTGCATGCAGTTTCACAGAGAAACTGAACTGACATAGTCGTAGTTATGTAGGCCCAGGCACAGAGCTGCTTTGGACAGCAGCCAACAATAGGAGCCAAAAAGCATAGATTTGATAGAAGTGAACATGTAGAGATGGACAGAAGTTGTTCTAATGTGTCATCATTTTTCTCCCAGACTGTGTGGTTGTAATCTCACAGAGGAAGGCTGTGCAGCTCTCTCCTCAGCTCTTAGCTCAAACTCCTCAAGTCTAAGAGAACTGGACCTGACTGGCAATAAATTGCAGGATTCAGGAGTGAAGCTGCTCTCTTCTGGACTGGAGAATCCACACTGTAAACTGGAGAAACTGGTGTAAGATCATCACTTTATCTTTGTGTGTCAGAGTATATGAGTGAAATGCAGTGGCAGTAATTTCCTCTACCTGCTAAAAGCATTCTGTAATCACTCTACTGCAGTTTTTATTGCCCATTTAACACAAGTGAGAAAGAACACTGCAGTTTTTTTTTATTTTATTTACTGCTCCACACCTGTTCCATTCTTACTGAAATATATTTATGTTAGACATTGTGAATGTTTGGACAGGCCACTTCATACTACATAATTAATTTAGCAAACAAAATTTTCTATACATTTTCTGTCACAACTCAGAAAACTGCTGTGTCAACAAATTGACTTGACCTACTTTACCACTCACACAGCAAAAATGTACAACATGAAAGAGAAATTGTATGCATTTGCATGCAGAGCTAGTGAAATAGGCTTAGTTGGATGAAGTGGCATCTATGTGTGTGTGTGTGTGTGTGTGTGTGTTTGAGTGTGTATTGAACTGTAAGTGTGAGGAGTTTTTTTCCATCTTTCTGCAGGCTGTATAACTGCAGTATTACATATGAAGGCTGTGCTGCTCTGGCTTCAGCTTTAAAATCAAACCCTTCCTCTCACCTGAGAGAGCTGGACCTTAACTGCAATAAACCAGGAGAGTCAGGAGTGAAGCTGCTCTCTGATCTACTGGAGGATCCACACTGTAAACTGGAGAAACTGTAGTGAGTTGCTGACTTACTGTCTCTTCATACAAACACACACACACACCCTAAACCTAAGTCAGGAGTGAAGCTGTTCTAGATATGTGTACAAGTGATTTAATTACTTGATTAATAGATGAATAGATGTTGAGTAACTTGTTATTTGATTAATAACAATTTCAGAAAATACAAATACTAGAAATGATTTGACACACAGATTATACATTCTGTAAAATGAAGACAACATACCGATGGAAGATTCATGAGGGGGTTCAATAGTAGCAAGACATGCCCTTTAAAGATTTTCTCTTGATTTATAAAACTTTTTTTCTTGATTTATAAGAACTGAACTGTCTATGTTTCCTGTTCATAACTGTGTGCAATTTCATACATTACCCTGTTTATGATAAACACACAGATGTTGTTTAGTTTCCCCCAGTTGACACAGATTGTGGGTGATTCTTATTGTTTGGGGTGTTCAGTAAACCATGTTATGTTTCAGCTGTATGTGTTTGTCTGATATCTGATTGACATTAATATGATGTTATGTCTGATGATCTTTTATTCTCTCTTACAGCATCTGAGCACCAGCCAGCTGTTTGCTCTCAAACACAGAAGGTTATGAGGAGAGAAGTCTTAGTACAAACACACACATACACACACACTCAGTATATGGTTCTACACATCAGTGTGTGTGTTTGGGCTGTTAGTGGTCAAATCTGTGAAAACTGCTGCAGCACATGACTATGTGATCTCCCCATGACATCACCATCAAACCCCTCATGCTGTTCAATGATCCCACAGTGACGAGAGATGATGAGAATGTGTACAGGAGCGAGGAGCACCAGGTGTCAGGCAACCAATGGAAATGTAGATATATGATTATTGGTTTTAGAGACTGAGAGAGAGACTGTTTCATTCTGCTTAAACAGACAGGGTACACCATGACTAGATTTAATGTATACTGACTTTACCTACTGAGATGTATACTGTATAGATGTATACTGATGTATACTGACTTTACCTACTGAGGATGTTTTGGTTTTAAGCTACAAAAAATAAATCCTCCTTGTAGTTTGACTTAAAAAATTGTGTGTGTGGTTATATGTTTTCATTTCTTTCACATGTAAATGATGTACATTTGATCATAAATGTTAGTGAATTATTTTTCAGTGGTGAATGCTGTGTTCCAGTATCAGGTCCAGTCCTTTGTTCCTCAAGTCCATTTCTGGAGGACACCCCACTGTACTTAAGTGTTCTCCTGCTCCAGCACTGTGCTGACTATGAACTAGTGACCAGGGGTGGAAACATTTGGGAGCTTCAAGTCACAAACTGGCACATAGGTGCTCAGTGTTAGATTCAGTCCTTACAGTCTCTAAGTTATTTGTAACATTCAGGCTTCTCCTGCTTTGTCTTTCTTTGTTTCTGTGTGTCTGCCTTTGTTTATTTTCTCACATTTGTTTACATCTACCATGTGCTTTTGTTGTTTTGGTCTGTCTCCTCCCATGTCATCTGTCCCACCTGTGTGTTGTCTGTAGCCCCACCTTCTCATTAGCCCCAGGTGTTTCTCATGTGTTCTTTGTCTATTTATTTGCCCTGGTTTGGTCTGTTCCTTGCTTGGCATTGTTTGTAGTGTGTTTTATTGATTATTAGTTTGAGTTGTTATTCCTATGCATTTTGTTCTCTGTTCTTTGCTTTTGGTGGTTCTTTTTTTTTTCTTTAGTGCTTTCCTAGTTTTACTTTTCTTTTGCTTCTTTTGTTCACGTTTGCATCTTGCCTTCTCCTCTTATTTGGCTTCCAACACGTTACATTATTGGACTGAGGAAAAATGAGAGAGCTATTCAGCAGCTTTGTTTAAAATCTAAAAGTTCTTGTTTTTGCCAACATTATGTAGATAAAGAAGTTAAAGAAAAAGCAAGTTACTTACTGAGAAGACTAGAGGGATGAGACTTTAAAAAGGGTTTTGAGGTTCACCCATTTAATTAAATCTTCAGTGAAGACTTTGGTTATGAACATAGTATTGAGAAACTGGTGTTAAAAATGTTTAATCAATAAACTATAAACTATACATTTACACAATTTTACCTCAATTTGATTGGCTGAAAGACTTTAATAATATTTAAGTCTAAATGCATTCAGATTGTGGAATATAATTTAACACTGCGTTATTAAATGTAATCTAATTTTAATCATTATAAAATCCATTATTGTAAGTAATCATTAAGATCACTTCTTTGAATTCATGTAGAAGTGTCTCCCAGGTGAAGAGCTGTACAGATAAGTATAAAATATGTTAGGCAGTGTTTTGTTAGTCTTTATCAGGATAAACTGGTTCTCTGCTATTTTCTAGACTTTGGATTAATTGATGTGATTTGGCCAATTGACAGAAAAAGGGAGGGCCTTGTAATCTGCCACACTTCTCCAGTATATCTGTTGATTACAGTCAACATTTAGTGATTTTATGTGTGTGTGTTGTTAGTATTTGTTATAGAAACCTTATCAGTTTTCACTGATAACATTCTTTCTGTTCGTTATTCCAAGGTGTACTTTCACCTGCTCTGCATGCAGCTGTGCTGTGATTGGTCAAGTAACATCAACTCACTTCCAGAAAGAAAGGAAACAGAACAAACACTGGACTTTCCCTTCAGGAAACTAAACCAGTCCAAACTTGCTTAAGTAAAAGTAAAACTCAACAGCCTCATTTTGTGAGATGAGAAACAAAGTTTCCTATTAAAGAAAGACTATGAGTATGTAAATGTGAGCTGTAGTTTCTGAATGATATGAATCTGTGAATAATGATGTGCAGTAATTTAGAGATGGTCACTGGCATTGAAGCTCACGTGTGGTCTGAGCAATGGTGGATTAAAGTGATTAGGGGCCCCTAAGCTGCATTTTAAATGGTCCCCACAACCCCCCAACACACAAACATCCTCCCAATCCTTTACCAGACAAAAGAAAATACAGAGAGAAAATGCTACTGCCAGGTGAAACGAAAAAACAGAATGATAAGAGTCACATTTGTGAAAAGTCCCATTTGAAAAGTAACCAAGTACAGTAATGTAGCTGATAAATCAGTACACAGCAAATCTGCGAGGTAATTTCGAAACAAACCATACACTGGAAAAAGGTGCAGTTGAGATCTAACTCCTTCGGTGAGAAAAAAAACTTCTCAACTTTAGAATGTTTTCTTTCTTGTATGATAAAACAGCAGCCAATCCTTTAGACAAGGATTAAGAATTTTTTTTGCTGTTTATGATGATGTTTTGATACAGTTCTGGACCTAGTATATCCACATCTATTAATCAATTTTAGTGCCGGAATGCTGGATCTGAGCTGTAGAAACGGGAGCTGCTGTGGCTGTCAGCATCTTTTTCATTCCCTCTTCTTCAGCGTCCATTAAAGTCACCTCCGCTGCAGCAGTTGGGGTTGTGGAGGTGTTAGCAGCTACATCGATCAGACATAACATTTATGAGCACCTCCTTGTTTCTGCGCTCATTGTCCATTTTATCAGCTCCACTTACTATATAGGAGCACTTTGTAGTTCTACAGTTACAGACTGTAGTCCATCTGTTTCTCTGCATACTTTGTTAGCCCCCTTTTACCCTGTTCTTCAGTGGTCAGGACCCCCATGGACCCTCACAGAGCAGGTACTATTTGGGTGGTGGACTATTCTCAGTCCAGCAGTGACACTGAGGTGTTTAAAAACTCCAGCAGCACTGCTGTGTCTGATCCACTCAGACCAGCACAACACACACTAACACACCACCACCACGTCCGTGTAATGTTTCCGATAGCTCTGCCTCTGTCTAGTTTTCTTTGTTTGATTCAGCCTGGCTTTTCATTATCGCAAATACTGTAGTTTGCATCAAGCCTAGTGTTTGAGTTTGCCACATCTAACCCTCATAGTGTTTAGCCAATATATATTTAATAGACCTTTCCAACACAGTTACAATCCCTGTGTGGGCGTCTAGTCTGAAGCCTAGGGTAGCCTGTGCATAAATCCACCCTGTGGTCTGAGGATGTGCTTAAATGTACACCGTACCATATGGATGACTTTGAGGCATGTACAGGTGTGAGATCTGTCTGCCACACCGAAATAATGAGTTTCAACCATTACTGGGGGCTGTTACCATGCTAACTTGGTGAACTTGAAAGTTTTGTAACACAGGTCTCATTTACTCATTTACTAATCACTACTTTATGTTTTATTAGCATTTCATATACTGTTCCAGCTTTTTTGAAATTGAGGTTTGCATAATCAAAGTGTAGATAAATTTTAAACTCCACTTGTTTTTTCCTCACCCAATCGCGTGTCCTTAAAAAGTGAACACACAATGAACCAATGAATAAGAGTGTTTGTTTTACTGATGTGAGGCAAGAATGATGTAGGGAATGTAACTCAGGACAGCACATTAATAGCTAGTTTGTAATTAGATTATAAATTAGAGTATGTATTAAGCACATACTTTGAATGTAGTTAGAAGCAAAGGACATTAAAAACAATAAGACAATGTGCATTGTCATATAGGCTTAAGTATGTCTTAAGTCTGGCTAGAAACATTTCAGTTAAATATAAATGAGTCAGTATGCACATTTTCAGCCCCCAAAAATTAAAACTTAATTAATGTTGACATATTTTCAGTTAATTTTGTGTATAGAGGGAGCAGGAAATATACCTAACTTATTATTTTTATCTACTTTGTGATTTTATAATTACACAAACTGACACGCAAATGTTGTAACATATCTGGTTGTGAATTTACTGGATTTACTGGGCCTGTTTTTGATTTCCTGGCCGGGTGACCAGGGTCCTTTCTGTGTAGAGTTTGCATGTTCTTCCCGTGTCTGTGTGGGTTTCCTCCAGGTACTCTGGTTTCCTCCCTCAGTCCAAAGACATGCAGTCAGGCTAATTGAAGATGCTAAACTGTCCCATGTGTATGTCTGTGTGTCTGCCCTGGGACTGAGGCAGCATTGTGGCTAATAGGACTGCTGTACAGTTTAATTTATGATCATATATATAAAAAAAATTGTCATCTCTCTCACAGACTGAGGATGAACAGGAAAAATCCAATGCCAGAGATGGGAACATGAAGCATTCAGACCTCGCTAACCCACAAAGAGCAGTAAGAGCCATTGCTTCATATTTATCACATTTCTTTTCGTAAATCTGTCATTTCAGTTGCATAAAATACAAATGTAATTTTTTCAATAATTTGATGCTCAGGATCATGATCATGGAGTCAGATGTTTATTATTACATTTTCTCATGTTTAATAGAGCTGATCTTACTTATGGAGAAATGTAAAAGAAATTAATGAAGGAATCTCCCAGAATGGACCATCAACACCTCTGAATGAATGGAGAGGTCAATGATGAACATGAGACAGCATCTAGGAGTATCATGAGACAGCATCTAGGAGACCCATCAAATCTTATGCTTAATTTAGTTATTTATAGTTTAATTTTGCTATGTTATTGGCAATTAGACTAGCTAGTAGCTGCCTGCTACTTAAAGCTGCTGTACAGCCAAATGGCCTACATGTGGTCAGACAACTTACCTTTCTCTCAATTTTATCCCCCTCAAAATTAGACTCTCCACTCTCTCCACTGCTTCTCTCTAGTTCTTTGCCCCCTAGTGGCCGGGAGCATTTCCTGTGTAAGCAACCCTTAAAGGCAGCATTTTGTAAATATTTTTTTTTTTTTAGTTAATTCTGTTGTGTCCTGGCTTATTGCGTCAGCGCTGTGACTTTTTGTCTTTTCAACAAATGCAGCATTTTAAATGCTTAATTTCTGGTAATGTATTTGTGTTCTCACTTATGTATTTGTGTTCTGTCTTTTGTATTTGCATTTGCACTCACTTAATGCTGTTGTTATATGACTCATTGGGCCACCGTAGAGATTTCATCTCTAATATCAAATTCCTCCTCTCACCTCAGAGAAGGCCAATAATCCATGAGAGTTAGGAGTGAAGGAGCTCTATGATCTGCTGGAGGATCCACACTGTAAACTGGAGAAACTACAGCGAGTCATTATTGATATACATAGACACACACACAGTAACAGCACATTGTATGTGATGTGTGTAGAAGTGTGTATGAGTACAGATTTAAATTTAGTACAGATTAATGTCTGACATCTGACTGTAGTTTGTGTGTGTTTGTCACACCTCCCACTGAGTGGGATCAGTTGAGTTCATGGACTGTGTAAAGGACTCCCACAAGCCTTTGGAAGATCATATGACTTCCCTCAGTTCACCATCCACCAATGAACATTCACTCCTACACTCCTCCTCACTGGAATTCTGATCTCACACAGCTGTTTATCATCTCTAGTCATTAGCTAATCAGTATTTAAGCCCAGGCTGTAGACTAGCACTTTACACAGTATTGGCAACCTTCCTTGTTGCAGACTGAGTGGTCTGTCTTTGTTAAGCCTTTTTGTGTGACTTTTTTGTGTTTTTTGACCTACACTTTTTGTGTTTGCCCTTATCGGTTTGTTTGCTGTGATTATTCTGATGTTACGACCCAGTGTAGGTCAGGCAACAACGTGAAAAAAAGAGACCTCTGTGCCCTCCCAGTTCCCCAGGTCACACATACAACCAGTTTTGCCATAATAACAAGTTGGCTTTATTTTCAAGAGTTCAAGGCTTTAGACAATTATGAAACAGTAGGGGAGGGAAGGGTAAAATAACAAACAAAAACACAGCTAACTTAAGTTTAGGAAAATATAACTTAACCTAACAAACAAAAAGAAAATCAAATACAGTTTAAAACCTAACTTCCTTGCTAAAGCAAACCAGGAGAAAAAGCCAACAAAAATAATCCCCTTTTCCCCAATGAGAGTTTATATACAAGAGCTACACATGTCTGGGCAGCCACATTAGCTGAGTGTTTACAGTATACTTCAATG